TTTGTTGTATATAATAATCTAAACGTCTGTTGTATATAATAATCTAAACGTCTGTTGTATATAATAATCTAAACGTCTGTTGTATATAATAATCTAAACGTCTCTGTTGTATATAATAATCTAAACGTCTCTGTTGTATATAATAATCTAAACGTCTGTTGTATATAATAATCTAAACGTCTGTTGTATATAATAATCTAAACGTCTCTGTTGTATATAATAATCTAAACGTCTCTGTTGTATATAATAATCTAAACGTCTGTTGTATATAATAATCTAAACGTCTCTGTTGTATATAATAATCTAAACGTCTCTGTTGTATATAATAATCTAAACGTCTCTGTTGTATATAATAATCTAAACGTCTCTGTTGTATATAATAATCTAAACGTCTGTTGTATATAATAATCTAAACGTTTGTTGTATATAATAATCTAAACGTCTGTTGTATATAATAATCTAAACGTCTGTTGTATATAATAATCTAAACGTCTCTGTTGTATATAATAATCTAAACGTCTGTTGTATATAATAATCTAAACGTCTGTTGTATATAATAATCTTAACGTCTCTGTTGTATATAATAATCTAAACGTCTCTGTTGTATATAATAATCTAAACGTCTGTTGTATATAATAATCTAAACGTCTGTTGTATATAATAATCTAAACGTCTGTTGTATATAATAATCTAAACGTCTCTATTGTATATAGTAATCTAAACGTCTCTGTTGTATATAATAATCTTTCGTTCTACAGATACATTTCTCTTCATTATGTTGAGTTTCAATAGAATCAGAATATGTAAACAAAAAACAGAGAAGTGAGTTCCTGTGTTGCTCCTGCGGAGATGTGCTCGTGGTGAGAGAGTGAGAGAGGCTCCTGTTCATAATAAAGAGTTTCCTTCTGCAGAGGCTCAGAGCGGAGGACAGATGGGCCGCTGCGTGCACGCTCCTCACGCAGGGCGCGCTCCACAAACTCTGGGTCGTTTTGGGACGAGCCTCATGCGTGACCGATTGAACTTCCACCATTTAAAGACACATCACTCCAAAACAACCAAACTCAGACCGTTTCAAACACTCTTGGAATTCAGGGAGGGAAGGCTCAGGAAGATGCTACTACTGCTACTGCTGCTATTACTTCTGCTACTGTTACTACTGCTACTGCTGCTATTACTTCTGCTACTGTTACTACTGTTACTGCTGCTATTACTTCTGCTACTGTTACTACTGCTACTGCTGCTATTACTTCTGCTACTGTTACTACTGTTACTGCTGCTATTACTTCTGCTACTGTTACTACTGTTACTGCTGCTATTACTTCTGCTACTGTTACTACTGTTACTGCTGCTATTACTTCTGCTACTGTTACTACTGTTACTGCTGCTATTACTTCTGCTACTGTTACTACTGTTACTGCTGCTATTACTTCTGCTACTGTTACTACTGTTACTGCTGCTGCTGCTGCTCTCTCATCTAAATAGTTTCTTAAAATAAAACATTTTAAAAATGCAGTGACTTCGCAGAGACCCGCGTGTGTTTTTACAGTTCACATTCTGCCCTGAGTATTTCACGACAGGCCTTTGGACTCCAGGCCACGGCCTCTGACTCGGGAACGCATTAGTCTGCATTAAATCTGCAAAACATCATTTTAGGCCTTTTTGCTCTTGTCAAATATCTTGAGCCTAATTATTATTATAATTCTATAATTCAATAGAAATTACATTACAAATAAATATATACGACCACATTAGTCCAGTCCTCAGGTCTCTGCACTGGCTTCCTGTGGCTCAGAGAATAGACTTTAAAACAGCTCTGCTTGTTACAAGTCTCTCCATGGCCTCGCACCAAAATATATTAGTGACATGTTAGTCCCATTTATGATTTTAGTGCTTTCTTATTTTGTTCAGCACTTTCAATTGTGCTATACAAATAAACTTGCAATGCCTAAGAGATCCTTTATTTGTATATCTATGTAATATATATATATTATATATATATATATATATATATATATATATATATATATATATATATGTATATATATTATATATATATATATATATATATATATATATATATATATATATATATATATTATATGTATTATATATGTATAAAATATAGAAAATATATATGTTCGTGTGTGTGTGCGTGTGTGTGTTTGTATATGCGTGTATACACAAATATACATATTGAAAATGGTATTATTCAAGTAAAGTGAAAATTCCAGTTTTAATGTCTTTAAACCTTGTGTCGCTCTTTCAGTTTAAAAGTTCTGAAGAAAAAACATTCGCTTCAGTCGGTTAGTTGTGGTTGATTCTCTTCCGATGCTCGATCATCAATATAGGTCAAAGAGAACTCTTAGCTAAAAATGTATTTTGTTATTAATAAAATGAAAGTATTTTCTGAATCACGCATCAGATCAATCAGTGACGTTTGGATCCAATGCTTTACGTGAGTCACGCGCAGAGAACACGTAAACCACGTCTATTCCGTCTCTCACGTGCTGCTGAGCAAACAGGGTTTCATTTTCCTATGGGCTGCAGAAAGGCCTGTTCATGCGGCCTCTGCAGACCTGTCTCACTTTCTACATATATAAGATCACAATAATGGCCAACGAAGAGACAATTTAGTTCATTTTCTGTATTGTTCAGCCATACTTAAAACGTAAAATAAAAGGCCTAATTAATGACATAATTAAGAGTCATGAGACCCGTGAAGTCCACATAAAACATGTGTTATATTTATAACAAACGGTCTAAAATCATAATGAAATCTTACGGTTGCAGAGCGTCGTGTCTGGGGTCCTCGGACTTTCTCAGGCAGTAAATTGAATTAAACTCCCTGATTGGCTCGGACTGTTCAATGTTTAACTGTGATTGGCTCCACTCTGTGCTGTCTGCAGCACCAATACTGAGACGATTAATTTGTAAAAACAAAGCTCCGCGGAGGAAGAGGGGGAGCGGAGTGGCGCCAGCGCCGGTTCCAGCCCGGGTCCAGCCCGGGTCCAGCACTGGTCCAGTGCAGCCCCATGTTCCTCCCCGCGCAGGCTGAGGACGTGTGTGGGGAAAAGTCTATTGTTTTGCGCTGGCCCTTTGGTATGGAACAGCCAGGGGCCTTGCAGCGTCCTGCTTCTCCTTCCTCAGGGTAAACTGTAGTGACAGAGCGCTCAGGAGCCCCTCATTAGCTCTGTGTCCACTATAAGAAGCACCGAAGCTGCTTAATCCTCTCTGTCTTCGTCAATCTGTCGGCCCGGGAGGACACACTATAGTAACCTGCCCTCTGCATTCCGCTCGGCTGCTGTCAACACATGCACGAGGACTATCTATATATATGTTTACGTATTCATTATAAATATCAATTCCTTTAAAATGAAAAGACATGACGCTGTGTTTTTATGTTTCAAGTTTGGGTTTGAATAAAACTGTTTTTATCCCTCTCCTGTTTTTTTATGACTGTAATGTTATAAAAGAACAAATTAAATAAATTAAATTAAAATAAATGTTAGCCAATACTTCGCCAATTAATTCAACCCGTGAGTGACGTAAATGATTTTTAACGTAATGAAGTCATGCTATATACAGGCCTAAAGTTTATTTAAATATGAAAAAGAACGAATTTAAAACTTAGTGCTGAACTATTTAATTAGATTATTCATTGAAATAGAAAATATGAATGTACTAATATTAAAAATGAACTCTTTTTATGACCGTTTGAAGGGTTGAAGGGGAGTCTGGCTCCTCTTCTTGGAAATGATGAAACTAAGATTTTTATGAAATACAAATTTAAGCATTTTATGATCATTGTTCTTCAGATTTAAGACTTTTTGGTGTTTTCAAAAGTTCCCTCTTGGATCCTCCATTTGTGTAAATATTTGTGTCCTAAATGTATAACTGTTATTCATGTGGACCTCACGTCTTAGACAAAGATGCAATTTCTACCAATTATGAAAAATATAAAAATTCAAGAATTAAAATGGAAAATAAACAAGTACAGTTTATTTATAAATCTGGAGTTATAATTTAATACGGTACCAATAAGTTTTCACAGTACATCAGAGTTGTCAAAAAAGAAGTATAAGCACAGAAACATTCAGCCACGCAGACGCATGCACCCACACACACAATACTTGAATTTAGAGCCAGACCCTGCAGAGTGTCATGGGTTCACATCCCCTCAGTCCACTTCACAGACTTCCACAAACCGGTTCTGAGACGCCGGCCCCGACACTGCACCCGGCTCTTTGACATTGTGTGGCAAATGTAGACAATACAAATGTGTAGTCATTCTGGTTCGAGAGATAGAAATATGTCCTTTACACTTTAGAAAAACAAGAGAAAAATACTGTAGAAAATATGGAAAGAGGAAAAAGTTACTGCCATAAAACCACAACGGTCCCCGATAAATCTTATATAAAATGTCGTTACGTCTCTGTTTTTACTTGCCTCACTCGCCGTATTCTCTACAAACTAAACAAAGGCAACAAAAACAGTGTAATCTCATCCATTTTCTTTCCAAAACTTGAGTTAAAGTGACATAAACCTGCAACACTGGTTAACATTATTCAAAATGTGTTTTTTTCAAAGTGCCATATCGTCTGGGAGGTGTACAAAAATTGACACAAGATATTCCCTGCAGTTTCTCACTACCCGGGACCAAAGAAAATACATTAAGTACGGGGGGGAAGGGATAAAAAAAATAAAAATAAAACATAATTTACGAGCACGATAAATACACACAGGGTTTAATAATAAATATAGTTTGTTTTTTTCCCAAACCACACAGAACGTGAGCAGTCCCCGGTGAGTCCATGCTGTAAATGTGATGCCACACCCCCCTCCCGGTCTAACAAGGGGGACCTCTTCTCGCAGATAGAAGTCGATCCTGTTCCCAGCGACCGGAGCAGACGTCCCGGGTCGTGAACAGCAGATAGGTGCAGTGGTTGGGCTGAGTTTGAGGTATGGGCTGGTCCTGACCTGTCCGCACCGCCGCTCTTCTTCTACTGTATGGGCATGTAGGGCCAGTTGAAGCTGCTGCCGGAGAGTAGCATGTCTCTGATCAGGGTTTCGATGGGTGTCTTTCCGACCAGACGCACAAAGAAGAGCTGCTCGATGACGGAGGAGGAGACGCTGCGGAGCGACGGCAGGCGCAGCAGCAGCTTCCCGAAGCGGGTGGGCTGGTTGGGGTACTGGCTCCTCACGTACTCCTCCAGGGCACACTGGGACTTCTCCTGGAGACCCTCCACGTGGGCTATGTCCGAGAGGCCGCAGGCGTCTGAGCACACACACACACATTACACACGCACACACACAGAATCAGAATTAGAATCAATTTATTGCCATTTGCAGAAAAAACTACATTGGAATACTAACACCGGAGACACCGGGGGCACCAACACCACAAAGCACACACACACACACAGACACATAGACACATACACACACACACACACACACACACAGACACATAGACACATACACACACACACACACACACACACACACAGACACATAGACACACACACACACACACAGACAAAATAATAAAAATAGCAAGACAAAGTGAGGCAAATATAACACTCTTAAAAGCATAAAAAAGCACACACACAGACACACACACACACATACACAGACACACACACACACACACACACACACACAGAATGGATGCCTTCATAGATTCTCAAAGCAGAATAATGTTGAATAAAGTGGTAATAACATCAACTTCAAGGTCAAAACAATAAGAAAAGACAGTTGGCAGAATGACTGGACAGGAAGTGTGCAAACATAAAGTGAAAACGGTTAAATATAGTCTCTTTTGTGCAAGATATATTATGTACAATGAAAATTGAAAATGACCATAGCAAACTATTGTTCAGTCCGGTGCAGGTCGTTAAAGTGACCGGCTGAATATTAAAAAGGTTTTCAAATACGTGACACATCCCTCACTTCAGCCTTTTGCTTCTTCCTCGAGCGAAAGTTGGAAATTTTAGATTTCTTTGCTTATTATCCTGAAGATAGACATTTAAAAATATAATAAAATGTCTAACTCTAGCATAAAAATAAGCAGAATGAGTTTGAGATTTATTTTCATTTTAAATTTAACTAAATCAAATTCTCTCCTCGTTCCTACTGTCCCTTGTGATGCAACACTGACATTTCCCACTGTGGGGCCGATAAAGATCTTATCCGCTCTGCTGTGAAATGGGATTCATTATGTGAGGATCTTGGAGAATCTAAACATGTGTCTAAACATCAGTGGTTCGGACATAAGTATAAATTGGATTCCTTTAGTGTGCGGTGACAAAGCCGATAGTGCCCAGTTGATGGAGTGCATGTGCAGTACATGCAGCGCCCGCAGTGCTGCGCCTGCTGCGCCTGCTGCATGTGTTGTTGTGCTGCAGCCTGTGGTAGAGCAGCAGGCCGAATGGAGCAGGGGTTAAAGAACGGTTACTGTGTCCCAGTTCCAAGACACGTGTACACATGCGCTGAAGACTAAAATAGATCTTCATCGAGACCTGCTTCTTTTACTTCAAAGCACTTGCACTTTTGATCTTGCTCTTTCTCCGGACACAAAATCTAAACATTTAGAATCAGGATATTTGTAAGAGAAGGAAAAGGAACACGGGGTTGAGAAAATAAATAATCTGCTTTAAAAATATCTGTACCATGAATAAAAAAATACTCATACATTTACCCATACACACACACACACATACACTCATATACACACACACACACGCACATACACTCATATACACACACACACACACATACACTCATATACACACACACACACTCATATACACACACACACACACTCACACACACACACACACATATATACACACACACACACACATATATACACACACATACACACACACACATATATACACGCACACACACACACACATACACTCATATACACACACACACACACAAATATATACACTCACACACACACACACACACACACACCCATATATACACACACACATATATATATATATATATATATATATATATATATATATATATATATATATATATATATATATATATATATGTGTAATCTATATACAGAGCAGCCCAGAGCAGCCCAGAGCAGCACAGAGCAGGTTTCTCACCTGTGGTGAACAGCACGATGGCCTTGATGCAGCTGTACTCGGCTGAGTCCACATGCAGCACCTTCAGCTTCTCCACCTGCTCCTGGAAGACCCGGATGTGGTCCATGAAGGCCACTACTCGGTCCGCGGACATGGGGGAGGCGTGCAGTCCCGCCGCGGCCAGCAAAGGAGCCACATGTACGGGCATGGAGCACTGCGCCGCGTTCAGCACGAACAGTTCGCTCCAAGTGAGCCGCAGCAGAGCTACCTGGTCCGGGACCTGCAGGTCCGGGAAGAAGGGGATGTTCCGAGCCCACTCCACCGCACTGAACAGCATGCGGGCCGCCAGCTCACAGATGTTCTCGATGCCCATCAGGTTGTTGCTCTGCAG